TACCAAAAGTTTGCTTCAGGGATTTTACAGAAGCACAGCATAAACCCTAGGCCAGTGATGGCGAACCTTTTGAGCTCGGCGTGTTAGCACTGGTGCCGTGTCACATATAGAAATTTTTTGATATTTGCAACCATAGTAAAACAAAGACTTATATTTTTGATATTTATTTTATATATTTAAATGCCATTTAACAAAGAAAAATCAACCAAAAAAAATGAGTTTGCGTGTCACCTCTGACATGCCTGTCATAGGTTCGCCATCACTGCCCTAGGCAATGAGAGTTAGCTTTGACAACACCAGTAGGAAGGGAAGGGATAAGAAGATAAAGAACACCTGAGTGAGCTGACAGAGTAGTAAGAGGGAGAGAGGTCTGGCTTTGTCTCAGGGCCCATGACATGACTCCCTGTGCCGCTGTGTGATATGGTCAGTGTACTTTGTGGATACCATTTCTTGTCTTGAGGGAACAGAAATGAATGTGACATCTGGGACCACTTTTCCAGTCCTCTGCTGCCACAGCCTGGCAGAATTCTGCCTGGCACCGAACAAATGCCAAAGTACTAGATGTGACTAAAGAGAACAGAAAAAAGGCAGCTAGAATGCTGTCCTCATAACTCAGGACTTTTAGATCAAAGCTAATCAAAGATAAAACATTTGAGGGAGAACAAATTATAATTACCTTGAAGCAACTTTAAAAGTCTCATAAATTGCTGTCAGATATGCCTGACATATGACCATCAAAATGTAAGTAACTTTATTCAGAGAAACCCTTTGTTGCACTTCTGCTGACCCAACCCTTGTCCTTGCCCAAAAAGAGTGAGAAAGGCAACTTAGACTAGCGACTCAAAATCACTCTGCTCTTCAACTTAAAAACGCAGGCAAAGGTGCTGGTGGCTACCCATTCCCATGACTGGTCCGGCTCTTCCTTGAAGCTCAGGCTCATGGAGAGCAGAGCAGGCCCAGGCTTTACCAAAGCTTTAGGTGGATCGTTCGCCCCAGCCCAGAGGCCTCATCGCCTAGCTTGAAGACATGGCCAGGATGGAGCCAGGTAGAGACAGTGTGCCTCTAAGAACAGAGAGGCTGCCAGTTTCTAGCAGCACAAAATAAGCAGACTTTCCAACAGGACAGAGTGGTCCACGATCCTGTGTTCATCAGCTCACCATTGACATGAAGCAGTATCAGATCAGGGTCAGTTCTGGATCAAGGACTGAGGAGGGCAGTAGGGAGAAGTGGCTGTAGAAACTATCATTTATTAAATACCATTTATTTCATACTAGAGGCCCGGTGCACGAAATTCAGGCATAGGTAGGGTCCCTAGGCCTGGCTGGCAATCAGGGCCAATCGGGGCCTTCTGGCTGGCGGCGGGGCCTTCCTTCATTCCCTGCCACCCCCTGGTGGTCAGCGCATTTCGTAGCGAGTGATCGAACTCTCAGTCTCTCGGTCTAACTCCCAAGGGGACCCTTTATATATTAGCCTTTTATATACACAGACACTGTGCTAAGTGTTTTACATTCATTTTCTCATTTAATCCTCACAACAGCTTTATGACGTAGAGATTACTATCATTTACAAATAAGAAAACAGGCTCAGAAAAATTAGGTCACTTGCCCAAGGTCACACAGTTAGTCAGTGGAAAAGCTGGGATTTGTCTGTTGATGAAAGCCCATGTCCTTTTATTGTACCCATCTAGGTCAGTTTGGGCAAAAGGCAATTTCACTGCCTAGCTCTACAAAGAGCATCAGAGAGTCGAGGTCACTGGCCACACTCACCGCTGGTAGGGATGCATTGAAGCTGACTTGATGTTGGTTTTTATTCCACTTGGCATTTTCCCTAAAAGGAACATAAAGAAAGACACTTGATGCATGGTAAGACTTTTATGATAATTCAGAAATGTGGTCTCTTAGGTTTCCTTCTGCCACCCTCTCTATCAACTCAGAACTCTGTAGCATCTGAACCTGGACGCCAAAGCTCAGAGGCGTGGTTGCACACCAGCTCTCTCCCTAACGGTATCTAGGAGGAAAGGGCTATTTGCGGGGAGATGACGTGGTGGGAGGGATCAGACTCTCCTCACCTATTCCTAGAAAAGATAGCTAAATCTGTGTGATCCCCATTCACAGGTAAAAGAATATACTTTTATTTTAATTGTCCCTTTTCTCAGACAGTGTAGAAGAAAATATCTCTTCTAGTTACTTGCATCTGAACTCCTCCAGACTGTTCTCATCATCACTAAAAGTGAGCAGGAGACAGAATATGGAGAAAAGAATACATGTTGCACTGGGAAACTTGCTGCCAAATGGTCTTAATTAAGGTCTGACCATCGGTTTCTCTAAGAAAAAACCCCTCACATACCTAATATCCAGCGTAAATGGAACAGAAGGGTAGCTGAGAGACAGAGGTTTGAGATAGGGGTTGGAGGTGAGAGCAGTTTCTGCTATTCGAGTTATTCTTCATTCTCTGGAGTTTGTTAGCATCTCAAATGAGATTTTTACTCTTAAAAATTGTTTTCTGGATCACAGTCCAGGAGAATGGGAGAAAATCTCCAGCTCTGGGGAGGCTAACGGTTCAGACAATTCAGCTTATTCCCACTTCCTTGCTCAAGGTCTGTCACCATGTCAATCCCTGCCACCTTACCTGGTTGACCTGCCTGGGCCATTTGCACCCCACTGAGAATTGACTGCTGCTGGCTTGGAGCACCTGTCATCTGCACCTGCTGCAATCCTGAGGCTCCTGCAAGGATTGTTCCAGTTCCTGGCTGGCCTGGCTGGCCAGATCCACTGGTGCCTGAAGGTCTCCAATTGGACAGCCCTTTTCCAAAGGCAACAGCTGCCACCAAGGCATTGGTGTCTGCAGGGTTAAAGGTCTGCTTGTTTGGCCGGAGACCTGGAGAAAAAGATGAGTGAGGACCCTGAAGTATTCCTCTGACCCTGGACAGAACCTAGCAGTAGGAAGACCAGTATGAGTACCAGGGCTTAGCGTTCTGACTTTAGCAGCATCTAGGCTCCCTGATAGCCCAGAGGAAGAGTCAAAGAACCTCCACAACTATCTCAGAATTCTCCCTTTTCACTTTGCCCATTTCCTCCATCTGTTCTAGGGCTGGACTTAAACACAAAAAGCTAACAAAATGGATGTATACCCTTTCCTAAGCAGCTCATTCTTATATGTCCTCACTTTGCTACTAACCACCATTCCTATAAAAGTGATCTTATCCCTCTTTCCTTCTCCATTTTTAAAAAATTTATTTTTATTTTAAATCCTCACCTGAGAATATTTTTTCATTGATTTTTAGAGAGAGTGGAAGGGAAGGAGGGGGAGAAAAGAGGAAAAAGTGAGAAAAACGTCGATGTGAAAGAGACATCAATTGGTTGCCTCCCACATGTGCCCCGGTAGGGGCTGGCGATGAACCTGAAACCCAGGCACATGCCCTTGACTGGGAGTCGACCCTTCGACCGTTCAGTGATAGGGACTGATGTGCTAACCACTTAGCAACACCAGCGAGGGCACTCCACTACTTATTACTATGGCTGGTGCCTTTGGGCAAGTTTCTAACCTTTTTCTATAAAAGAGGAAAGAGATCTGACTTATGGAAATAAGGATTAAACTCAGGGCTTTCCTTCTCCATTTTGCCACCGATCCCTCCATACCTCCACTCTCTGATTCTCGTTCCTCTTTGCTGATTTTCTCCAAAAGGTTTGAGCACATTTTATTTAAACTCTGGATCTGCTTCTGTAACACACAAATTGGTAGAGAGATTAGGGCAAGCAAGAAATGATTGTGGGGAAGCTGCTTTCTTGTGCTCTTCCAGGGGATATTTATATGCAATCAACTGTGCATCCTATGAGACAGCAATAATAAAGCCTAGCTTCTCACGTGGGACTTGGGGGATGGGGGGTAGCAGGGCAGTGAATCAGTCCAACCTGAGCTACATCAGCACCGATGCGGGCAGCATCTGTTGTCAGTTGCTTCTCTTGCTCTTCAACCTCAGGGTCAGGCTTGGTTCTCAGATGGTCAGGGACTACCTCATGGCTGAAAACAGGTACTCGTCCTTCCGTCTGCCGCTGTTAAACACAGCTTTTATTAATCATCCTAGGCATTCCAAGATTCAATCTGGACCGATATATAGGTCCTGTCACAGGCAAACAGTGCATTTTCAGGAAAAACACAGCCTAAGATGTATGATACTTTGCTTCCTAGGACACCGTACCCCTCACTCTATCAGTCATCTCTGTTTCCTCACACTCCTATCTGTACTAGACACAGAGGCAAATCTCTCTGCTACATTTTAATCAAAGACTAAAATATACAAAGTTACAAAAGAACATGCATTTTGCTGGAGACAGGTGTTGGCTGAGAAAGGCCTTTGCCGTGGTGGCAAGGTCCTCAGGTTTCTTTGGGAGCAGCTCCCCAACTCCAGGACAAAAAGCAAGGCCTCCAAAAGGCAGCCTCACTTTTTATTGCTCCACATTCAGAACCTCTACAATAACCAGCCAACGACTGTGCTCTAGGTCCTTACCAAAGAACTTAATTGCCCAAGTTGTACCCTTCTCCTCCTCTTACCATAAGATCTTCATCACGGTCTGGGGACAACACCAGAGGGATGATGACCTGGTTACGGAACAGTGGTGTCTTTTCATGCTTCAAGACCTTGTTCAGAGTGTTCAACTGTCCAGAGAGCAGGGCAAAGCTGTCCAGGACAGAGGGCCTGGTGGTAGTAAGAAGGTGTCAGAACATTCCCAGTAAAGTAGCCTCAAAGGGGTCCTTCAGATTAGGAATACTCAGACTCACCCCCAAAAGACTCCTAGACCTAGAGCTGGACTGGGTAGGAACCAGCGTGTCTGATAGGGATTGTGGGGTTAGAAAAGAGGGACACACTTTCAGTTTCTGACACAGGTGGAGAAAAAAGGTCATTTCTTGAATGGGGCGAGGAACAGTGGCAAAATAGGAACCATGCCTACACTGTTATCACCAAAAGTTCAGAAACGGAGTAAAAGCCTCTTTTCTGGCCTGGAAATAAGATCTATATTTCCAGAGTAGGTTGGATTTAAAAGGCTCACCAATATCTATGGCAAGAGATCCAGTATGACCTTTGTGTTCCTACTGTAGCGGGAGGATTTCTTTTCAAAGAAGTCAAAGGGTGAGAATCAAAAGCTAGAAAGAGCCTAGATTGGGAAACTGGGCATTTCTCTACTTCCTTGTCATGGAGGCCCTAAATTATACTTCGTTTGTTAAATGTTGGGAAACCTAGCTGTTACCAAATCATAAGATGTTTGCAAACTGATACATGGTTCTATCACTGGAGGTGCCCTATTCACCAGGAGGCTTGGCCCCCCCACCCATGCAGCCCTCCCCAGATTACCCTGGCCATCCTTACCAGGTCAACCGGTCATACTCGTTCTCTAATTTGTAAATGAAACTCCCCAGTGAGTTCTTCAGATCAGCCACTTGACTCAGCAGTGCATCTAATGACGCTTCAAGCTGCTTCTCCTCCCTCTGCACCAATAGGAACAGGTTGGTTACCCAGGTGAGTGTGAGTATGACACATACAAAGGAAGGCTGAAAAGCCAGGATGACGGTATGCAACACTATTGAGTAACACAGGATCTCACTGGCATAGGAGAGCCAGGTTGTTTTCTATCTTTGGTATTTGGGTTATAGACAGCATCAACTCTTAGACCTTTCAACTCATGCACCTGACCTCAATTCTTTCTACCAACTGATTCCTTTCTCCATCATTTCCTAATTCATGCCTGGTTTTTTTCTGTACTAAGTATACTCTATTCCAGTGATGGTGAACCTTTTGAGTTCGGCGTGTCAGCATTTTGAAAAACCCTAATTTAACTCTGATGCGGTGTCACATATAGAAATTTTTTTATATTTGCAACCATAGTAAAACAAAGACTTATATTTAATTTATATATTTAAATGCCATTTAACAAAGAAAAATCAACGAAAAAAAATGAGTTCGCATGTCAGAGGTTCGCCATCACTGCTCTATTCTCTCATTGAGAACTTTTCTTGAGACCTAATGTCTGGGTTTATTCACTTTTGTGTACCTCTGCAGCATAGGTGCGACTCTGTTCTAGAGCTTGCCTTGTGAGCCAGGCTGTTCTTGCCAATGGCACACAATCTCTGAGAAATCTACCTCTACAGGAAGGTTTCTCTGACCACTGGCTGGCCTTGGACCACCACCACAGCCCCTGCCCCAACTCTTCATTTGCCCTCAGCATTTGATGTTTCAACCTTCTCCTTGCTGATTTAATCTGCACTCATTTTATCTCTGTGCCAACATTCCTGTGCCCCTTTCACAGGCTTATAAACATTTACTGACAGATGTCCAGGTGCAAGAAACTATGACAAATGAACAACAAAACAACATAATGAATGGGGAAGGCTTGGGGTGGGGGTTGGGGGGGTTGCAAAAAGGGAGAAAATGGGAGACATCTGTAATACTGTTAGCAATAAAATAAAAATAAATTTTAAAAATGCAAATGTCGCCCCAGCTGGTTTGGTTCAGTGGACAGAGCGTTGGCCTGCGGACTGAAGGGTCTCGGGATGATTCCAGTCAAGGGCACACGCCTGGGTTGCAAGCTTGATCCTCAGTATGGGGCGTGCCGGAGGCAGCAGATCAATGATTCTCTCTCATCACTGATGTTTCTATCTCTCTCCCTCTCCCTTCCTCTCTGAAATCAATAAAAATATATATTTTAAAAATGCACACATCCTAAGCACCAGACAAAAAACTGTAAATGCTGCGGGGGGGGTGTCTTGCAAAATAATTTTTTTCTTTCTATAGCCTCCGGTTTTACTTTGGGCACAGGTTGGGAAATCGTCTTGCAAACTCGCCAATGTGCAGGGCAGGAGCCACCCACGGCCTCAGATTATAATTAGTTTAGCTTTTGGCCACAGGGGTTCCACAATTTCTTCATCCCTCGGGCTTCTCTCCGATTGCAAATTCCCTGTTATTTCGGCATCCAAGAGCCGGCCACCCCAGCACTTTCTTGAGTCGTCTTCCTTAGAATGCAGCTCAACCTTCCCAAATTACAACCTGGTCCTTTCCCATAACCTAGCAAATCAGTGCTGCTTCCTCCCTCCCGATTTAGTCTTGGTTTCCCTCTGGTCAGCCGGGCTCCCAACCCATGTCATCTCTGCCTCTCCTCCCCCGTAGGCCTCGCCCCTCCACCCCACGTTCCCTTAAGTGTCAGCCTCGGGCTCTGCCCCCCTACTCTCAGCTTCAACTCCTCATTCTCTCCTCGGTCAGCCTACTCTCGAGCCGGCTAACTGAAACTAAGTGGCGATACCGATAACCCCAACCAAAGACTCACCTGCATAGCGGGGGCAGTGTCTGCAGCAACCACCTCCTCTTCCGGTTTTCAAGCCAAAGAGTCACGCGGAGAGGGTTGCTTCCACCAATCAGAGAGCTCACAAGTTGTCCCGCCTACTCACTTCCTGTTCCTGCCAGGTGCGCGACAGCCGGGTCAGGGGTCACAAGCGGAACATCTTCCCTGGCCCGGGCCGGCGCGGGAGCGCTGTGTGATGGCTTCGGAAGGCCCAGAGCCGGAGGTGAGGGGCGGGCGGGCGCAGCTTTGGTCCCCGAGATCTGAGGGCCCGGCGACCTGGTCCGGCCGTGGCCTCCTCCGGGTCTTGGGGCGACCGGGCTAGCCCCGAAAGCCTGTCAGTTGAGCCTCCTTCCCGAGGTCCGCAATTTCCTCGAGGGGAAACTCGCTGCTTTGTGTTGTTTACCGAAATTTCATCCACGTCGCCGACTCTAAGGCTCTTGGATGCTTTGACCTAATAATAGTATTAAACCCTTTATTTTGATTTTCTGTTGCAGTTTCAGGGAGCAACAGGGCGATAGACTTACTTTGCCGATTTCTGCATTTCTTCAAACATTGGAATCCCATAAACAGCATGAAATAATTTATTTCTAGCGTTCATGCTTAGGGAAAGCAGTTTTGGTTTCGTGAAAATATTTTTGACTCGGAGTGAAACCTCGTTCCACTATTGAGCCAACTTGGGGCAAGTTTTGACATCCCAGATGTTGTTTCCTTCATAAAATACCTATCTCATGGTGTGTTGTGAGGATCACAAGTATTAAACCAGAAAAATGCATTTGAGGTATCAATTAGGTGGTAAGGACCTCGAAAGGAACGTCATATACCTTGTGTTATTCAAACTCGTGCAAGGAAGGTGGCAACACCCATTCTCCTTTACAGATAAAGGAAATTGGGACGTGAGGGAGGTTAAGTACCTTACTCAAGTGCCACTCAGCTGGCGGGTAGCAGAATTCTGGAGTTAGAAGCTCCGAGCATAAAATTGCTCAGATTTGGAAGGAACAGCATCACTAGGGGAGGTGTCCAATATTACAAGAGAATATGAGTAGGTGGGAAGGGTGAGGGGTGTGTATGATGACACAAATAGTAGTCATTACTGAATGATTACTGCATACCAGGCATCATCCTAAGCACTTTACCAATACCAATGAGTGCTCTCAACCCTATGAAGTCGACACTATTACCATCCCCATTTTTCAGTTTTGGAAACAGGCACAGAGAAATTCAGAGAAACAAAGTTGCACAGCTAGTAAGTAGTAGAGCCAGGACTCCAAAAACAGGGGGCCTGGCTCCAGATCTTACGTTCTTAACCATAATGTTTTATAAATAATAAAGTAGCCATGGGATGGTAAATCTCCAGGTCACTGGGATTTGATGTGATGATACTCAGGATTAAGTAGGAAATTATCCCTTATTTAAAATAATCAGACATATTCACAGGAAGAGCCCATGCATCAGAAATACCAGTATTGAGAAAAATCATGAAATAATTTATAGTCTATTTTGTTATAGATTAAAACAAGGAAATAAAATGGGGAAATACAACACTTTCTAGGCACATAGTCTTAAACAGCATTGTCCAGTAGAAACCTAATGCAAACCATCTATGTAAATTTCATAGTAGCCACATTTAAAAAGGTAAAAAGAAACAGAGAAAAATTAGTCATATATTTATTTAATCCTATATTTCTAAAATATTACTTTAACTTATAATAAATATTTTTAAATTAGATATTAACATTATTTTTTGTACCAAATCTTTATATATATATATATAATTGATTTTTTTACAGAGGAAGGGAGAGGGATAGAGAGTTAGAAACATCGATGAGAGAGAAACATCGATCAGCTGCCTCCTGCACCCCCCGCCCCCCCACACACACACTGGGTATGTGCCTGCAACCAAGGTACATGCCCTTGACTGGAATCGAACCTGGGACCCTTCAGTCCAAAGGCCAATGCTCTATCCACTGAGCCAAACCAGTTAGGGCTGTACCAAAGTCTAGTGTGTATTTTACACTTCAGTGCATATCATTTTATACTAGCAATAACACTTCAAGTGCTTAGTAGCCCCATGCAGTAGCAGCTACCATATTGAACAGTGCAGATCTAAAGTAACAGAGTCAAAACACACTCCTGGGAATCTCATTCAGCCAAAGATTAAGCATTTGTTAAGTTCTCGATTTGCATTTCTGAAAATGTTATCTCACGAAGTAAAGAGGGTAAAGAATTCTTCCGCCCCTGGACAGAAAATTGACTGACCTTTAGGGTTGCTGCCACCCCTAGAGAGAACGTTTGGGCATAGTCAGATTTAAGAAATCATTCGTTCATCAAATACTTAAAATATTTTGAGTGCTGTTATGGATCCAGAATTGTACTAATTATCAGGGTGGATATGGGGCACTGTAAGACATGTTCCTTATTTTAATGGAGTAAGCAAACATTGAATTATGATAATAAGTGCTGCAAAGGAAAAATACAGAGTGAATGAGTATTTAACAGCAGGTTTTTTTTGTTTTTGTTTTTTGGAGGGACTGGTTTTTTATTTTAAAAAGATACTTGTTCAATTTTCAGTATCAAAACGTTGCACTATTGGTTTCTCTTTCTCCCAATTGGCCCCCAAAGGGACCACACCAAAGGAGAGTACATTTAAGCCAATAAGCTTTAACAACAGTTCTTAACCTACTTTGTTAAGAAATGGTGGGAGCTGAGGTGGATCAGGAAGTTGCTTCAGAGGTATAACATTTAAGCCTTAAGAATGAGAAAACTGAAGGAATAGTGAGAATTCTGAAGTGAGAAGGTTGAGCCTTTGGAAAACTGAGAGGAAGCAGCTGCTAGTGGCTACAGTGTGACAATGAGAATAGCTAACACAGGTGCTTACTAAAATCATATAATACGTCTAACCCCCCCCCCCCATGAAATAGGTACTTTTATTATCCCCCTTTCACAGATAAGGAAACTAAGGCACAGAGAGTTTACATAACTTCACCAAGACCTTCCACTGATAAGCAGCAGAACAAGCATTTGATCCTAGGGACTCTAATTCAGGGGGAGATGGATGAGAGATGAGGCTGGAGAAGATTCAGGTTGAGGCCATACTAGAGTTTCAGGACTATGTCATATGTATAGTGGTAAGGAGGCTTCAGACAGCTCCAGGGGGGGAGTTGGTGAGGGGAGTCTACATTTTTCATGGGACTCTTAACAGAAACAGCACAAAGCTTGAATTATATCGCAACTACAAAGAGCCAGGTGCAAAAAACAAGTTAATGAGATGGGAATGTTTCCTTTATACTGATATACATGATATGCAGTGCGGTATCTGATGATGTTATATTCATCTTGTTATAAATGGTATGTAGGCCTCAATAATTGTTCCAAAGAATGATAGGCTTCCTCTATCACTGTTCTGACTCTCCTGTTTAATTACAACAATATATTTATGAAATAGATATTCTTATCCATGTTATCAATGAAGAAACTGAGGCCTGGAAAAATTATGTAACTTGTCCAAGCTCACCTAGATAGTAAGTAGTAGAACCAGATTTAATTTCAGATCGATCTCTTGACTCCAAAACCCTGCTTTCTCTTTGCCAGACTCCTCTAAGTATAATGCACTTCAGACTCAGGGGAATTAAGTACTAGGGACTTGAAGCTCTGTATGAGTGTAGGCACTGTGAGAACACCACAGATTCAGGGATTCTCAAACATTAAAGTGGAAGAATCACTTGGGGAGCTTGTGAAGTGTAGATTCCTGAACCGTATCCACTCTAATTCAGTTGGTTTGGGTGGTGCCCAGGAGTCTGCATTCTGATAAGGACCTCAGGTAATCCTGATGCAGCTGGCCCTTGGATCACACTTTGAAAAATACCATTGGAGCTGCTTAAATCTTTTTTTTAAAATAAATATGCTTTTAGAGGGAGAGAAACATCATGGATAGGCTGCCTCCTGCACGCCCCCTACTGGGGATCGAGCCTGAAACCCAGGCATTTGCCCTGACTGGGAATCTAACCAGTAACCTCTTGGTTCATGGGTTGATACCCAACCACTGAGTCACATGGCCGGGCTGCCTAAATCTTTTTAAGTCCTCCGGGTTGATAAATCACACCTTGAAAGTGAAGAAAACATAAGGATGTTTTGAAAACGTGGTTGTTGACTTTGAAGGATCACATATAAGGGGGAATGTTGTGAGAAAAATTGTTCCTGGTTTCAAGATAGTGGATTCTGTAAGAACTGATTGATGAACTAGACTCCAGCTTGGCCTTGGACAGTCAGTCCATCATTCTAAATGACTTTAGAGACAAGGTGGAAAAATGGAAGCTGTATAGTAGTGTAATTAAGCAGCCTACTAACTAATAACCTAAAGAAAGTTTTCTAATAGCACAGTGATCATACCCTCCATCTGGTTTATCCCCCTTTCCCTCCTCACTTAACAAACCCTGTTTAACCTTCAGTGTCTCTTTCTCCTAAGATCCTAGCCTGGGACAGATTACTTAGTTACATGTTATCATAGAACCCCATTCTTATCCTTTGGCGAATATACTCAGTTTATAATAATAAAATAATTAGAGTAGTGACTTGATTTTTTTTTTCCATTGGGTAAATTTTGTGAGAATAGAGAATGCCAGTTTTTGCTTTCCATTGTATACTTAGGACCTAGTGTTGGTATGTGGCAGGCTTTTTATAAATTTGTTGGCTGATAAATGAATGCATGCTCACCTTGCCTTTGTCCTCATTGGACTTCGATGAGGACGATGGCATCCTGATCAAATTAGCAGGGAAATTAAGCTGTAAAGCAGTGGTTCTCAACCTTCCTAATGCCGCAACCCTTTAATACCGTTCCTCATGTTGGTGTGACCCCCAACCATTAAATTATTTCGTTGTTACTTCATAACTGTAATTTTGCTACTGTTATGAATCGTAATATAAATATCTGATATGCAGGATGTATTTTCATTGTTACAAATTGAACATAATTAAAGCATAGTGATTAATCACAAAAACAATATGTAATTATATATGTGTTTTCCGATGGTCTTAGGCAACCCCAGTGAAAAGGTCGTTTGACCCCCAAAGGGGTCGCAACCCACAGGTT